TGGTTTAGGTCGGCGGGTTGCGGACTCTTCCGCTTGCGATCCTTCCCCCCTGGAATCCCACTGCTGAATTTTTACTTTTATGACCTTTTTAATCCCGTTTTAGCTTTCTGATGGGTAATTGGGGATGTGCGGGGTGAGCCTGATGTGCCTTGGCCTCACCCACCTCTCGGATCAGAGGCCAGAACGCGTTGCTGGCCCTCGCTTTCTGTTAGGAAGCCTCCTGACTCTCCAGCTCCTGTTTGTCACCCCTGGTTTGTGGTTCCTGTGCCCCGTTAATTACCCGGCAGAGAACTGGGAGCTGCTTGGGATGCGGGTTCCCATCAGATGGCCTCGGGACACGCGTTTGCTCTCCTGGCAGTTGTGTGGTGTCAGGAGCCAGCGAGGGAAACTCGAGATAGCGGGGCCTGACGCTGCCTTCCCAGTCTTGTTCGGAGAGTTTTGGGGAGCAAGGGCTGCGGGTGGATGTGTGGTGAAAATCCCTGACGCTGCGTTCAGCCGGTTAAAGATCCATAGTTTTCATTTTCAACAGCAGTGCACCTTTTTGCATCTTTCCGTTGTTGGTTTTGATTGTCTTCCTTGCATCACTGTAATTGCACCAGCAAAGGCAAGGTTTTCCAAGAAGGTGCGAGTTCGTAGGGGTTTTTGGGCAAATCCTGAAAGAACTGGGTTTCCCGTGGTCATCCTTGAGGACCTTGAGACCATGCCTGGTGCCTCTGCGCGGATGGGGAAGTTCTGGCAGCTGGTTGAACATATGGGTAGAGATGGGCTCTAAAATCGTCATCTGTCTGCCTCCTTCAGTTCTGAAGAAGCATCCTTACTCGAAAATGAAACCTTCAGCAGCTTTTCTAAACTGTATAAGAATAGAAGACAGTGGGGTTTTTTATTTTGAGGGGGTCTAAGTACATCTTGGTTTTAAAGACAGCATTATGGCAACTTCTTTTTGGACTTTAGTTACATTTGATTGCTACAGGCAGTCAACAGTCATCCAAAAAGCACTCAATGTTTGAGTGATAATGAACAGCAAAATGATTTGAGCCATAATTTACAGAAAGGAGCAGCTTGTTTTCAGTTGTTTTCAGAGTTTAAACTGTCCTTGAGGATACAAAAAACAGTTTAAACACTTGGTGCAAGAGACAGGCTTATTGATAGAAATTATAATGCTGCTGTCACAAGAGAAAAATGGAAATAGCTCATAACGGTTGCTGAATCACTGTCATTTTGAAATCGGTATTGTTGTCAGATGGAGTGTTGACTTTTAAAAAAAAAATTAATTTGTGCTGCCATTGGCAAGAGGTCGCCTTTTGCTGTTGTGGACACATTTCTTCCACTGCAGTGAGGTCATGTGTTTCATCTCGCAGCTTTCACACAGGAAAAAGGCCTGATAGGCAGATCCAGCGCGATTGTTCTGAGAAAGCAAACCCTGTATTTGTTCCTCGTTTTCTGTCGCAGGGCCGTACCTGTTGTGCAGCGCAGAGGGTGTGCAGCCCCCTCCAGCCCAAACCAGCCTGTGAGTCTGAGGCCATCCTGGCACTGGGCTGTTTTTGCACTAACCAAAGGCAATGTCTGCACATTATGTCAGGAGTTAACAGTGAAATGCTGGTTTACTTTGTCCCTTACCTTATCCTTTTACTAGGAGAGTATAAATAACGGAGTTTTTTGTTCAGAAAAGTCCATTGGAAGGCGTCAGGCGCAGAGGGATACCTCTCGGGAAGTTCCTGGATCACAAATTCAGAGTCTGGGAGAATATTTTAGCGGAATTACCACAGCATACGTTGGGGTTTTTATTTTTCCCCTAGGCAATCAGGATTGGCGGGTGTTGGGACTAACAGCATAAGGCTAAATGAACCTTGGGTCTGATCAAATATGGGGTTTGTTATGCAGCGTTTAGCGATTTCATGTTAATTTGCATATGAATAGTGCAACAGCAGAAGTATCAGGCAAGTCAAAATTCAACCTCGTGTTTCCAAACTTCTCCGTTAAGGTGCGATATCAGCAGAAGTAAGGTTGAGGTAGCAGAAGAAACGTTCTGTCCACTTAAAAAGTTTTCTTCCCACTGGAGCGTGCTGGCAAAGTGTGGTGACGTCTGCCCTTGGCGTTTCTTCCTGCAGGAGAAGTGTCCTGCTACCGCTCGCTCCCCCGACCCCTGGCCCGCGCTGTCTTTGCCACAAACGCTGCTGTAGAATATTCCTCGTGGCCAGACAGGTGCTCTGCTCTTTTGTGGCAGCCAAACCCACGTCTGACAGATTCTGTTTGTAAGGTGCTGGATTTGTCACCGCCTGCGACACAAACAGTAACTTTATTTCTGACAGTTGTCTCCGTCTCCAAGCAGTCAACAAGTGCTCGCGGAGGTAACCGAGCTCCTTGGACTTCTGTCTCGGTGACCTGCAGCCGTCGGTGCTGCTGCTTGGGATAAGTGATGTGGAGAAATGCAGTGGGGGTTTTATGACACGTTTTATTCTCTGTTGGAGAAAGAACTTCTGAGTGGAGCAGCTGTCTGCCGTCACAGAAGAAAGAAGACAAGGAATACGAGAAGGGATTGTGGGAGACTATAGAGTTACTGGTAATATTCTGGGATTTCAGACACTCAGCTGATTTTTTTTTCATGTCCCGTGGAGCTGAAGCAGTGGAAAGAACCAGAAGAAAACACCTCCCAAATATAAAATGACAATATGTTTTTGTCAACAAAAGCAGTAGCAGAAATAAAGATAATTTAGTAAATTGGACAGAGGGAAAAAACCTGGTGTTGCTGGGGGGGGACGCACACATATCCAG